GGACCCCTAGGCAGTCATTGCCTCTCTGTTTCAGGGGGAGGCAACCCGGCTGAAGCAGGATGCCAGTGCTCTCCTGAGCCTGGTGGACACCTCCATGGCACAGTACAGGCAGCTGCAGCGCCACACAGGGCGCTGGGAGGAAGAAATCAAGCAGCTGCTGCAAAGGGGAGAGGGCGAGAGAGTGGTAAGAGATTGTCTGGGGGGCTGCAGCTTGAGTCATTTGCACTGTGAGCTGGAGCCTTGGTGGGATGCCTGTGACACCACCACTACTACATGCTGTCCTAGCCTGCTCACTGAAGTGGGTGTAGCTCTGCATGCCTGCTGCAGGATGGTAGCACCCTTCCTCAGAAATGCAGTCCCTTGGGGCTGGTCTTCTGGAGCTGGTGGGAGACCTCGCTTCGCTGTGTGCGCGAAGCTGCTGGTGCAGGGTCTTATCTGCACACCTCCCCCATGTGAAGCAGGTTGAAGACCTGCTTCTGGAAGGATTAATGCTAAGATGACTCAGGATGGCTGGAGTTGGTTGAGGAGCACCAGCACAAGCCTCTGCTGACAGATAGATTGTGGTAGCCTTGATTCAGGGGCAACAGCAGGCATTTAGGAACAGGCTGATGGGTCTTCTCTGCCAGTGCGGCTCCTTGCAGGCTGCTCTGGGACTGCCTGATGCTCCCATAGTGTGTCCTTCATCCGTCCATTGTATCCCTTTGGCCTGTTGCAGACGCTGACTCAGCTGCTGTCCCAAGCCAACCTCGCCAGGAGCACAGGCCTGCAAGCCATGAGCGCTGGCAATGCCACCTTCTATGAAGTGGAACAGATCCTGAAGAGCCTCCGGGGTAATGTCCTAGAAACCCCTCCTTTCCCCTTGTCCTGGTTCAGCTAGGATAGGGTTAAGTTTCTCCAGCAGAGATGGGGAGGGGATCTTCAGCTGGGTTATTCATACCATGCTGACATCAGGTCCAGCGTGGCAGTGCGGGAAGTTTTTTCCTTTGTGCCTTTGGTCATGGGAAAGCAGGTGCGGGCTGTCTGCGTCCATTGTGGTATTTCTCTGTATATCTTTTGTCTTGTTCACTGTTATTACTGTTTACTGTTGTTATCATTGCTACTGTTGTTGTTCAGATTGTTTATCACACTGTTGTATTAAATTTCTTCTTATTTTAACCCGGGGTTTGTGCCCTACTTGTGTCCGAGGGTGGGGGAGGGGCAATGGCAACGTGGTCTCCGGTCCCGGCAGGGCTTAAACCAACACACCCCTCCCTTGTTGGATCTCGCAAAGGTAGTGCAGCTTCATTTCCCCATGTGTTTGTTTCAGAGTTTAACCTGCAAGCAGATGACAAGAAAAGGGAAGCTGAAGATGCCATGAGGAGGCTACCAATTATCAGCAGCATGGTTGCAAGTGCCAGGGAGAAGACGGATCGAGCTGAAGCCACCCTGGGCAGTGCCGCTTCCAAATCCAAGGCAGCCACCAGTGCATCAGGGAAAGCAAAGGAGATCACCATGGGGATCCAGCAGGTGAGGGCAAGCCCTTGTGCTATGGCTGGCAGAAAAGGATTTGGAAGGGAAAACCTTTGGCAACTCCAACAGGTCTTCATGGTGGACCTGATGCATAGACTTTTTGGCTGACTTTCTTTTTATAGCAGATCCATCTGCTATAACAGAGATGGCTGTAGGTGCATGGCGATCTTTGCCGGCATGTCTGCACCATGAGGATCTCTGTGGCATCTCTCTGTAGCCCCCTTTTGGTGACCAAGGGGATTTTTCATTTCCATAGTCTGAGTTGCTGGCAGGCTGTGAGCTCCCGGAATTGGTGTTGGTGGGTTCGACTCCCTGACTCTGTGTTGTAATTCCCAAGGGGTTCACTGATGTCTGCAGGAGGGGTTGAGCCGTAATCATAGAAACAACTCTCTGGAGCAACTGGTTGGAGCACATGAAGGATGCAGGAAAGACCTGCAATAATTTTGGGTCCCTATGGAAAGAACCAGTTTCCACCAGTTCCATGCCCTGGTGCACCCAGACTGATTTTAGCCATGCTCTGCCTTTCTGGAAGTCCCTTTGCCTTTTCTAGGAGATCGCACAGCTGAAGGTGGAAGCCAACAAGTCAGCTGATGGCGTCCTCGCCCTAGAGAAGGCAGTGGCTACCCTACAGCGTGAAGCCAAGGAAGTAGATGGCGAATTTGAGAGGAAGCTCAAGGAGGTAGAGGCAGATGCTGCAGTGATACAGGAGGTGGGTGGCCATCTCTCTTGCCTTGCCCCCTTCCCTGTTGACATTTGGGTGAGACTTCACCTTGCAGCTGCTGCCTTCCCTTCTTCAGACAGCTGAGGAAGCTCAGAGGGTCCATGCCAAGGCTGTCCAGGCAGGGGTGGTCATGCAGGAGACATTGAGCGCCCTGGAAGAGCTGCTGCATCTATTGAGTAGGTTTTGTGATGCTGCTGTAGAGTGTGGATTGCTGGGGTCTGGGCAGAGGTGTTGGGACTTGTGTGGGAAGCTGCCTCAGATGACACCTGTAAACGGGCTGGGCAGCAAGATGGAAATGACTTATCTAAAAAGATCTAGTCCTCAGCTTCCATGAATCATTTCCTCTTCCTTGTTTTCATCCTGTGCAACAGACCAACCTGGTGCTGTGGATGAGGATGGCCTGAAGCAGCTTGAGATGAGTTTTAGCAAAGCCAAAACCAGAAGCAACCAGCTGAAGGATGAGATGTCAGAGCTGGAGCAGACAGCTGCACTGCAGAAGACCCAGGTGTGGACACTGGAGAGCAGCATTGATGAGATCCTAGTGGATATTAAGAACCTGGAGGCTATCCAGGAGAGTCTTCCTCCAGGCTGTTACAACACAAAAGCCATTGAATTGCCCTGAGTGAGCTCTGGAAAGGCTGCAGCAACTGCCATGCTGTGAACGCAGGAGACCTTGAACTAGCTGCCCTCCCCAAACCCAGCAGGACCAGCTGTGTTTGATTGCAGTGAACTCATCCTTACCCTCAAGTTCAGTGTGGCGACTGAAGTTCACATCGTCACACTGGTCTGGAGAGTCCCTGGATTTTCAAAGTAGTCCGTCCCTCGGTCACAGGAGGAAGGAGACGTCCGGTTGTGTGAAGGTGCTATTGTGACCGCATGACATCCCATTCCTACAACATTTCTGAGGTGCAGATGGGAGTTGCTTGGTTCAGAGCCTGGGGAGTTTGCATTGTTCAGAGCCTGAAGTTCACAGCTGAGAGGTTCTTTGTCCCCTGTGTATTCCCTCTCCTGGTCTGGCACACACAGAAGGACTAGATTTTCTGTCCTTACATTCAACACTGACACCACCACCACCTCCTTGTGTTCTCTGTGGGTTCTTCCTCACCTTTGGTATCTCAGGAGGCAGGGAGCGAGCAGTGTGAAGTGGCAGATGGGGTTGATGAGGTTTGATCTGTGATGCCAGTGATGCTTCATGTGGCTTTGTCCTCCCAGCCTACCCAGTCCTCACCTTGCTGGCGTGGCTTTTGCTGTGGCTTGGAGATTCAGCATCAGATGCTGCCAGTGACCCTTTTCATAAAGCTGCAGGTCTTCCATGGTGCTTATCCGTGAGTTTGTTACTATTTTGCTAAAGGGGAAAAAAAAAAAATGCCAGCTGATTTTGAGATCTGGATGATGGGCTGGGTGGAGGAAGAAGGGGATACCAGGTGAGCAGAGTATGAGAACACTGCTGGGGCTCCTCATATGGAAAATCTTTCCTGCTCCACCTGTTCCCTTCATCCAGGAGGAGAGGGCCTCCTCTCTTTCTCCGACACTTCTTTTTTGAGTCCAAAAGCCCCTGAGGGATGGTTTTCTTGTCAAAGCTTCTCCTGGGCAAGCACAGGTCTCCCTACAATCCCTTACACACTCAAGCACAACCTTTTCTTCCAAGGCCAGTCAGTTTGGTAGCAGGCAGCTTTCTGGGTGTCCCAGAGCCTTGGAAAAATGAGGTTGTGTCCCCGCTGCACAAGCATCCAAGACACTGCAGCACTTCTTAGAGGAACAGGAGCTTTCTCCAGGGGTCTGCAGCCACAAGCTCTCCTGTCTGAGAGCCTGGCCTTATCCTGCTGGATTGTCTGCATCCTGATTTGACTGGTTTAAAAATATTGACAATGTCTTGAATGTGTCTCTGCCTCTGGTTTGGTGCTGCCTATTTTCCCTCCCTCCTGCATGGTGCTGAATGTTTTTCAGAGGCTGAAGTAATTGTCCGCAGCATTTCCCGCTGTACATCTGAGCAGAGCTTGGAGGAGCTGAAGACCACAGTGTTCCTGTCAGCCACCTGCAGCTTTCCTGTGGGTCCAGCTCCATTCTGACACCACTCCCAGCTTCCTTTAGATGCCATTCCAGGGGAAAAAAGAGAAAATAGATGCTGGAAGTCAACTCTGCTGAAGCCCCCTGACCTGTGTGGTGGTGAAAAAAGAGGTCTTAGATGGAGGAGACTTTGGGGGACATGCTCAACCCTTGTTAGCTCTGATTCTCTGATAAAGCAGCACCCATGCTTTTGCTTCGTAAGACTATACAAAGTAATATGTCTGCCACATACTTTTGTTTAAGTGAGATGTATTCTTGCCTCTGGCATGTCTTTCTTCTCCCATTGTATAGCATAGGGACAAGTATTATGAACCTGACTTTATTCTTCCACAAGTTGGTTTTTTTGAAAGGGAGAACGTCAATAAACAATTAATACTTTTGGTTGGGTCTTGCCTACTGGTTTATTTTCTCTAGCTCCCTGTTTTGGGTGAGTTTGGCCATTGGTTTTTCCAGCAGTGCAGCTGCTTTTGCTCTTCATGCTGACTCGGTCTTGGGGCTCGTTTGAAATGACACCAGTAACATTTTTTTGTTTTGTTTTGTTTATTACATAATTTAAACATTTTGCTGATAAAGTTTTTTGTCAATGACTGTTTTTTTTTCATATAGCAACAGAAGAAAAAAAAAATAGGCTCCAAAACTTTTGACAAAGGTGAAATTGGTGGCATGGCAACTTCAACCCCTTTCCCTCCCCCGCGCTTTTTTGTGTTTTGTTTTCCAAAAGGTGTTTGAAGTTAATTTATTTTTCAACAAATTGCACTGTTTAAAAGTGGAGGTTCAAAGACCAAAACCCATGAGCTCCTTCCCACCCCTCCCTTGCACCCTGGAAACCCCAGTCCTCACCTCTCTGGAGGTCATATGGATCTTCAAGGATTTTTTTTTTTTTTTCCATACCCACTCAAAGACATTTTCCAAACCAGTCCCAGAACTGAACAACCTGTTACAACCCCCCCATCCCACCACCCCATACTGTGAGTTTTACTGAGCAGATACACAAAGGTGCAGGTAAGACTAATAAGACAGAATATACTCATCATCCGTACCACAACGCTACATCTCTAAGGCATGCCATCCTAACTGTAATGGGATGCCCTGTGTCCCATCTTGTGTACCTGAGGGAGGGAGGGAGGTTCTGAGATAGCTCTTGGACACGCCGCCTGCCATCCTTCTCCATCTCCTTTGTTTTATTTCCCTGTGTCTTTTCCTCAGTTAAAACCCACTGTCCTTCCTCTCCCTTCAAAGAAGCACCGTTCCCCCAGGAGGTTAAAATCCCTGTGTGTGTGTGTTTTGGAGGCTCGTTGCTACCATTGCTTTTTCTCCTCCAGCTTGGAGCTAAGAAACATGGGTGATATCTGGCAAGGAGAGGAGGCTGTTGTCTGAAATAACTTCTGTGTTGGGGTGGAGAGGGAGGAGAGACTGAAAAACTGAACATGTGAGAACAACAAGTGGAGACGAGTGTAGCTCCTGGTTTACATATGTTGGGTGTCTCATGGATGAGATGTCCCTGCACAGGCACCTGTGCAGCATGTTAGCTAAGGAAGCTCAGTAGGGTGTTGATGAGCAGCTTGAATTGGCTGAAAACTTCCCTGGAGAAGAAACATCCCTGCACTCTGAGTCCCACACCCTCTTGCCACCCTCTCTGCTTTGGCACCTCTGTATCTCCTCACCTCACAGAATATGTGTACAACCACCTGGAGGTGTCAGAGCTGGTTCTGAGGGAGGGGTTCAGCTGCTGAATTTATGACAGGTCCTGAACAAGCCTCTCCATGCAGAGGGAAATCCCTGGTAAGGAAAGACAGACCTCTTCTGGCCTTTGGGCAAGTCACATCACTTCTGACTATTGCTTTCCCTTCTGGGAAGGGCTGTGCCCTCCTTGAGAAGTTGTTAGGTACTGCTCATAAAACCCTGCCCACTGCAAGGAGCCTGTGGCTGCAGGCTACCTTGTTTGTCCAAAACTGCTTGCTGTTATAGACACACCAGCAGCACTCCTCGGGTCACCAAATTTAGTGCAATGTCTCATCTTTGGAGCTTCCATGAGAGCAGCATGTGTGTGACCCTTTGCAGACGTTCAAGAAAAAAAAAAAAAAAAAAAAAAAAAAAAAAAAAAAAAAGAGTAATTTCAGATCTTTTCCCGAAACACCCTGGAGGACTCTCAGCCTTCAGGTGTCTCAGCACAACTCTGTCCCTTGCTGGGGACCAGCAGCTAGTCATAGCACTGCCCTAGGAAAGTCACAAAGCCAGCATGGGCAATGGTCGTGCTTTGGGAGAGGGTGGTGGTGGGGCTAACCTGAGCCTAGTTAGCCCAGATTTGTGGGGGGTGGCCAGATGTCCAGGAGCTATAGGCAGCAGGGCTATACCCAAGGCAATACAAGGTTAGACAGAGGAAAAGGTGAGGAGTAAAGCAGGACTGTACCTTCCTCCTTGTGGCTGTGACCTTTCCCAGGGGCTGTGCAGGGTCCTTGCACCCTAAGGGTGCTCAGTAGGACAATGACCTGCTTCAGCAACTGTGCTCTCTTCAGGACTTAATTTTCTTTTGCTCCATGTTGCCTGACCTGCTTTTAATGTGAGCATCTCCACTAGGCTCCATCCCTGGCATCCAGGGTCATGTCACAGGCAGGAGAGCAGGAACCTGGCATGTCCCAAGGGATGTGCAAAGTAGCCACAGCCAGTTTGGGAGGGGAAAAGCATCATGCATTTAATAAACTCTTCAAGGAGAGGAAGGGGGTAGGAGTGGAGGGAGAAGGGGGAAGTTTACAGACAGAAATGGAGATCTGGAGGCTAGAGGATGGGGATGGACCCAGCCCCCACAAAGCTCAGCCAGGTTTGGGGCAAATTCTCACCAGAGGCTTGGGTCACCACCTACTTCTTCCTCTCTTGTTTCTTGGCTTCATAAATGACAGATCCCTTTCTGGGTGCTGTGGGCCCCCTCCCACACTGCCTCCAACTCCACTTGCCTAGGGGGTGGCTTGGGTTCACTAGCAGCTGAGAAAAAGCAAGATGTGACATCCCCCCTAATGCTTTGACAGCAGTGCTTGCCAAGGCATCTGCTGCCCTTCAGTAATGCCCTCTCCGTGATTTTTCAGAGCCAGGAGGAGGATTTTGTTAGCTGCATTGTCCTACTGCTGGCCTGAGGAGGTTGACCTGCAGCGGGGCACTGAACCATTTGGTTACAACTGGCCTCTGCCAACCAGGATTCATTTGGTCATTGTGTTGAGAGGCCCAACAGGCTCATACTAAAACTATTTAAGAAAAAGAAGTCCACCTAGATTTATTGAGCATAAGTACTGTAAGATGATGCAGAAGAGGAAGCCCCTGCTCTGAGCATGCTGGGAGGACAGACCGGGGGGGGGACGACCACTTCCCAGTGACATGCTGGGAGGGGGGTGCTGGAGCCACTTCCCCTCAACCACACCAAGCACATCGCTCTTTTACTGGTCCCCCCTCCCTCCATACATATGAGGGGGAGGGTGGTTCCCCAAAAAAAGAGACCAAACCATTCCCTTTGGGGCCGTGCTGCGGTTCCCTGGACATTGCTGCACAATGGAGCGTTGGCGCCGGGGGTGAGAGGCAGACACGGGCAGGAGGCCATGGGATGAGGAGAAAGATGGAGACACGGACTGAGAGAGAGATAAAAGAGTGATGGAGAGCTGTAGGCAGGTGGGACACGAGGACTGTCTTGCTGCACGACCTCTGGCACTTAGCCGGAGGCATTGATGTAGAGCTGGCTCTTGAGGATGTAGTCGATGACGGGCTGGCAGAGGTAATCCACGACGTGTCCATCCCCATGCTGCAGGGCCAGTCTAGGGGTGTGGGGGGAGAGAAAGGGGTCAGAGCCTACCTGGGTGGGTCAGGTGTCCCTGCAAATGGAGGGGCTGGCTGGGGCCACCCCTCTCCCCACTCTGTAGTGGGAGTTTCCCTGCATCACCCACCTGCTTTTGGTGGAGCTGACGATGGACATGGGGTGGTTTGAGTCATCCTTCACCACCAGGATGTTGTTCTGCAGGGGAAGGAGGAAGAGAGGAGTGATGGGATAGCCTAAAAGTGGGTGTCTATTCCACCAGTCCCCCCCAACCCACTGGCCTCAGGGGCTGCTGCATGGTGGCCCCATTTCTCATCCCACCTAGCACTTGAAAGCATTTGCCCTTGAGATGTTTTGTGCTCTGTGGCAGAAGAGCTCACCTGGGTAAAGGGTGGCTGCGGGTCCTCTCGCAGCCTTCCCCAGCCACGCATGCATCCACTTACTTTGTACTTGCGGAGTATGGAGGAGTGGTTCATGATCCGGTCAGGGTCTGCTCCATCCCGAGGCACCACTACGATTCCAAACTCCCCAACAATCACCTCCATCTAGGAGCAACCCAAAGTGGGGAGAGCTTTATAACTGCCCCATGCAAAACCTGCCCGTCTGCCAACTCCGTGTCACCATGAAAGCTGGGCCATGGTCTGGATGGAGATAGAAGGTGAATTTGAGGCTATCTCAACAGCCTTCGGCAGAAACAGAATTATCAAGGCGTGGTGAGTGGTCTGCAGTGGATAAAATAGGCACAGGGTTAAATCCTATTACTAGACATTGAGATTAGGCTTTAGGGAAGACTTATCATAGTAGAAGGAGGGTGGCAGCAGAAGAGGTTGCTCAAGGGGGATGTGACCTCTGCCTCACTGGAAGGCTTTATGAGCAGGATGAACATATTGGTCCTGACAGAGGTCTTGTGGGATTGTTGTTCCAAGGCTGTTTGTGTCAAGGCTGGTGCCAATGCCATGTTATCCACTGCATGGGGACAGCTTCCACTGCTCTCACATCTTGGGTGAGACAAACCAGGCTCATCCAAAAGACTTCTGGGTTGGCAAATTCAGGCCGTAGGAGCCCATGAGGTCATATTGGTGCCATCTCTGCCTGTGCTTTGGTACCCAATTTTTTGCATCCTTTGTGCTGGGCTCCAAGACTTGCCTCAGATTTTGCTGCTTTCTGCCAGCTAACTGTTTTTTAAAAATTAGGACTGAAGATGTAGTAACTGATTTAAAAATGGTTGAGAAGCTCAAGGAGAGGGTGGTTTGTGTTGACCACCCAATTTCAACGAGGAGCCAGGTGAGGTCCCATAGCCAGCACTGTTCTGCCTGCTGGAAACAGCATGTGGGTGGGCAACCCACCCCCTCTCTAGGGCTGGCATCCTCCTGTGAAAATATGGCTTCTTCAGACAGGGACCACAGTGTCCAGGGTGCCAGGTGTCCTGCTGCAGTCCTTCACTAACTGGGTGTGTGTGTGGGGGGTGTTACAGAGAGGTGGGCAGTGGATTTCATCCATTTGAGTTGTGGCAGTGAAGGTCCTGAGATGGGCTTGTGTCAGCTGTGAGCTGGTGTTAAGGCATCATCTGGCTCATGGGCCAAGATGGTTTTACTTCTTGATCTTTATAAAGATGGATACTTGGGTACCTTACATTGCAGGAAAAGCCTTTTATTAAGTGAAAGCTGTTGATTTGGCTGTAAATGTGTTTAATTTCTAACATCTGGCTAACTTTTGTAAATATCTTATTTCCTACCTCCACACCTCACTCTGTTGGGACTGGCATCTACTTGATGCTGGCTTCTTCCAAGGGATGAGGAGTGGGAGCACAGCCTTTGGCGATTCTTTGGGATGGGCTTACCCTGCACCCTGTGTGGTGTCTCTGTGTAAACGGTGAGTGGAAGTTGGGCTTGGTTCTGTGGAAGGGGAGGCTGGGTAGGGTTGGTGACTCTGGAGCAGAAGACCCTGTCCCTCAGGCTGTCTGTGTGTAGGGGAGGTGAGAGTCAGGGTTGGGATGGAGGGGGCAGTGGGGATGGTGGGCACAGCTCCTGCCATCCCAAGGGACCTGAGCGACTCCCAGGAGTGCTGGATGTGGGAAGCAGAGGAGGAGGAGAGGACCCTGGGGAAGAGGAGCACAGAGAGGTACCCAGCAGTGGTGACTCACGTCTGCCTCGTTCCAGAGACCGGGGATGCAGAAGGACTCCAGCAGGTCACTGCCACAGAGCAGTAAAATGCGAAGCTCTGAAGAAAAGAAAGTCAGAGGTGGGAGCAAATGGGACTGAGCATGCACTGCCCCCACCCTGCCATCCCATTGTACTGCGTGGGGGGATCCTCTACTGCACACACCTTCCCTTCCAAAACAGGTCCTGCTAAAGATCCCGTGGTCCTTCTCACATCCCTACTGGTGCCAAGCATCAAATACCCTCGACCTAATTTATTTTAGCTCCTCTCTTGTGCTGATGGGTTGTCAGCATTGCTACATGCTGTTCAACTAGGTCCAGCCCTGGAGGTGGGGTATGCCCGGGGAAGGGAGTAATTTGTCTTCACTATAGGCACCCACAATCACTTCATGATGTGATGCAGAGTCTCTAGCCATGGGGCAATAGGGAGATCTCAGAGCCCTGGGCATGGCTGTGTTTGCTTTAGCAAAGCTGATGTTGAAGCACCAGAAGTTTTTCTTCCTCATCTTGGAGGATTTCTGTGTCCACCCTCTCTCTCCCCAGGCCTGGTTTGGTGCTTGCTGACAGCTTGACTTTACTGCTCAGCAAGGAAGTTGTGATGTGGGAAAAAGCTTTCTGCTCTGACAGGCCTGTAAAGATGAATTTAGTTGCACAACCACCAGAGGAAAGCCATAAACCCACCTGGAGGGGTGGGAAGAGGCAGCTGCATAGGTAGGTGCCTCCCTGGTTGGCACTTTGCAGGTGGCCAAAGCCTTTGTGCTCTGCATGGTGCCGGTGCTTGGATGTGTGTTGTGCCAGGCTGTGTGTGAGCTAGCCCATGAAATGGTCTCAAAACCACCAGCAAGCTCCCTATGCAGAGCCCTTGGTGATGTACGGTGGTGCCAAGTGCATAGCAGCCCTGTAGGTCTAAAACCCCTAAGGGGCTTTAGAGAAACAGGCACTGTGTCTGGTTGGGCAGCTGAAAGCCCTCCTGCTGCCATATGCAAAGCTCTGCAGGGCTGCAGGTGATACAAGGATGTGGGTGATACCACCATGGCGGGGGCAAGTTTGACAGCACTTGGGGTGACTTTCAAGGCATGATGCGCTAGGCAGGTCTGTGCCAGTGCTGGGAACCAGGTCCCCATTACCTGCTCCCTCATTTCAGGCTGCTTGTCTGCCAATGAACTGGGTTCAGGCCAGTTTAGCACTGCTCCTGTTTCACCCCTGAGCCCAGTTAACTGGCATTGGGGTGAGATGATTCAACATCCTTCACTTGCCACCAGATCTTCTCCCAAGCTATGTAGTGCTAGCCCAGAGGAGCCAAAGTGACATGGAGTGGGGCTACATACTCACCGATCTCCTCGTATCTCATCACTGTCCCCAAGTTGGCATTTTCATCTAGGAAAGGGAAGCAAGAGAGAGGTGTTGGTAGCTCACTGAGAAGAGGGGGCTGGGAGGAAGGCTGAGGGCTGGAGCTAAAGCAGAGGTGATGCTGGACCTTTCCTCTACGTACCCACAAACGTGAAGCGCTCCATGGGTGGGCGGACACAGCAAATCCGGCTCAGGCTTTCTCCCACCTTCCCCAGGATCTTTGCTAAAGGTGAAGAAGGAAAATTAATGGGAGAGAGGCTGTGCAACCAACCCGCAACAGGTGCTTTGGCCACCCTGGTCCTGCACATGGGTGTGGGAACTGCTCTCAGTATCTCCTCACCACCTCCTTTTGTGGTCTTAACTCCCAAGAATGCTATGCTGTGCCCTGAAGGTACCAGCTGGACAGTTAAAATCACTAAAAAAAATCACAAGATGTTCATTTTTATGGGATTTAAGTAATGCCCCCTCTTTTTCTCAGCTAATACCTCCATGTCCCACAACCTGCTGGCTTGTGGTAGATCCAGCCACATCCCCTCTCCTGCCAGTTCATCCCCTGCATGCACCCCATGGGTACCAGGTAGACTTTCTTAGCTGATCTCACTGCTGGACATCATCCAGCTGAAGTCTAGTGAGATTCCAAGCCATATTAAGCTGTTCTTAGCTACCCTTGCTGTGCTAGATGTTAACTAACTCCTCCATCACATCTCCACCCAACCCTAGGTTTGGTGTATGGAGCCTCATGAGTGACCTGACCCAAAAATAAGAGAATGGAGCACTGTTCCTAATGCTTGGCAGCTCTGACAGGGAGGTGAGGGGGGTGGTGGTCATCCCCCTCCTTCACCCGCTGTTACCTACCTGCAGTGGGCTTGTTGGAGACATTGTTGTTGTTCTGGTAGATGGTCTGCGATGACTCATTCTGGGGCTGGCCAATCACAGGGGTGATGGAGGGTGTGTTGACGTTGGAGAGGATGCAGCCAGTCACTCTCTGCAATGAGGGTGAGATGTAGCTGGAACAGTGACTTCACCCCCATTACCTCCCAAAACCTTTATGACCCCCATACCAAGCCTCTGCACCCCAGGCTGTCTTTAGTGATAGGTATGTCCAAGCTCACTTTAGGATCCCCACTCCACCTGACCTCAGCAGGTGGGCCTGGGGCCAGCAGGACCCTGTGGATAATGACTCGTGATTAAGGCTGGGGATGGTGGGCTAACTTTCTGCTGCAGCCATGCTGCCTGCAGGCAGGCATTGCCCCCATTCCTTGGAGGTGCCCATAATTTCTGATGGATAAATAAAAATACAGCAGCTGATGTATCAATGGTGCAAAGCCAGAAGCTTACTCATTACCCTGGGCACAAACATGCCCTCTTCTCCTCCACTGGTCCCTGCGGGAGAAGGAAGGCATCCCCAATGGCTCCCTGTTTTCAACACCACAGTCCCTAAATGCACTGGATATCCTGCTGGGCTGGTTAATTCTACTTCTGTGCCTCCTGTCAGGGCTGCCTCTGAGTTTGTATGATGCTGTTTCATCCATTTCCCATCCCTGGTTTGCTCACTATAACCCAGTGTTGACAGAAGCCCTGCTCTCCCCATCACTGCAGTCACCCAAGGGCAGTCACCTTCCTCCTTGGTTCTCAGGCCTGCCTGGGCTTTGGAGGGACTTTTCCTCCTGGGTTTTGTGCTCCCCAGGGACTTCCCAGATGCAGAATTTTCCCACTGAGTTGCTCTGTTGGGTTCATACAGCTTAGCTGGTGAGTGGGGATGCTCTTCCATTCCACCTCTTCTTCCCCTCAGGGTGGAGCAAGCAGTTGGCATTAATGTTTTGGCATATGCCCACCCCTGCCTTCTCTCTGTCTTCACCTCTGCTCCCCTCCTGGTGTGCGTGGGGCTGGAATGGCTGCTGGCTCCAGCTGGAGGGCTCAATTTGCCATCACCATCAGGGCAAAGAACTCAAAGTGGCTGTGACAAAGTATCCCACACCTCTTCCAGGTCAGGTTTTCAGGCACATTCCTGCAAGCCTTCTCTGTGTCTGTCCCAGTCATATTTTGGTTGTTGATGCCCATGTGCTGATGCAAGAGCAATCCCACACCTGTGCTGTCCCCACACCCTCACCCTGGGTGCACCCATGGTGCTGGGGCTGCCTCACCTTCATCAGGTCACGGTGGTGCTCCAGCACGCTGCAAGTGGTCTGCCAGGTGTCCTGGTAGCACTCCCAAGGGTCCACCCTGTGGGGAGCACACAAAGCAACAGTGTTGGCCAACAGCCACTGCCTGAACCTCCTGGCCATGCTACCTCCTCTTCACAGGGCCAGCCAAGAGTGCCATAAGCAGCCACCTTTGGTCCCCCTGCTCCACCATGGACCATATCCTTCCTCCATCCCTTCCATCCATCTCTCCCTAATAGCTCTGCGGACCTGAATGTGTGCCTGGACACCTTTCCACTCTCAGTACCCAGTTAACTGGCTTTCATTGGCTTGAAGGTAACTACATGTGTGACAAGCTTGTTTCCTGAGAGCACCCCAGAGATATTTCTTGTCCCATCTCAGCAACCAGATGCCATATGGCAATGCTGGGAAGGGGAGAGTCTGTGGGCTGGTGCTGCAGGTGTAGAAAGGGAAGGTGTCATGGCAAAAGTCTGGGTGTGTACTGGGTGACTTTGGGCCTCACTCAAACACCACAGACTCAGCAGGGGCTTGCAAGATCCCCTGAAGCCAAAGGGCTCCCTTGACGGATGGTGTAACACTCCTCATCAGTTCTCTGCTGGACTAGGGGAGGAAGGCCTCTGTTTTTAACCAAGCTTTGGCTGGGAGAGGAGAAAGTCCATACTGGAGCTCTAGCAGCTGGTGGCATCTTCACTTTGCATGCAGGACTTTGCCATCACAATGCTGGGGAAGGGGCAGGGGCTGCTGATGCCACGGCAGGTGTGGGCTCTGCCACTTACCTGATCCAGTCAGATGACTGGACAGCCAGTTGGCACATGGTCAGGCGGTGCCGGCTTGAGACCAGACCCTGCAAGAGAGAGGGATGGAGGAATGGTTACAGGAGGAAAGCGTCATGCTCTGGCCACCTTGAGCTTGCAAACCTTCCCACAGCAGAGCATCAGGATTGCTCAGATAAGACAGGCCAGAAGGACTTGTTCCTGCCCACAAAAAATTATTTAAGGTCCTGTTTGCTGGAGGGGAGTCCCTGCCTTGCTTCAGCCCTGGTTACATACTGGTCGGTGAGATTTGCTCAGCACCACCACTCTCAGCCCTGCACTGCAGTGGGACCAGATGCAGGAATGGTGTTTTTTTGATGAAATTTCTCCATTTTTCAGGAAAGGACAAAACTCTCTCCTCTCCTAATTTGGATTTCTGCCCAGCCCCAGGAAGTGCTTTTTAAAGGTCTGTTTGCATCATTGCTGTCCCCACAATAAAATGGCTTTGAAATCATTCAAACAAAAAAACCCCAACCCAACAAGATGACCACCACTGTTTTGGGTGAGAATGTTTCTCTTTGCTATCTAGTACTTCAGCTGGTTGTAGGGTCTCACTGCAGTTTTTGTCTAAAGAGAGAGTGGTTTCATCCTCTCCCTCCTCTCAGAGACTTTCCCATGGTCAGGAGCTGCCCTTGGCAGAGGAGGTCCATGAAAGGACCACAGGTGCAGGCAGCACTACCCAGTGCTTGCCCTTGGCTTCTGAGATACTATCTCATGTAGGAAGCAGAAAGGGAAAATGGGGACAACCCACCGTCTTTCCATAGGAGTCGTGCACAGGCGAGACTATGCCACCGATGACAATGAAGCGTCCGGTCTTGTGCAGGTAATCCCGGGCTCGCTCTGAAAGAGAAGGACAAGCGAAAGGGTGCAGGAGGATTCAGCTGGACCCACTGAGCCCTGCAACATCCCTCTGCCATCCACCAGCTTTGCCCAATGCCTGTGGAGCAGCTTATACAGGCTTGGTCAGCACCATGTGGGGAAGGTGACCAAGGGAAAGGCTCGATTTGTCTTTACTGCCCATCTCATTTAGAGCCATCCTTGGTGAGGTTGAGCATGGACCTTCCTGGGGACCCCTAAACCTTGCAGGAGGGAGGATTTGATGGAAGAAGGCAGGTCTTTAGCGAAAGCTAAATCACATTTAAACCCCAAATCACCTTCCACCACCTTGCCAGGGCACCAGAGGGACAACCAAAAGCCTGCACCACTAATGCGAGCTGCTCAGCAGAGACAGGCTCTTTTGGCAGTCCTGGAAGAGCCAGGCTGAGCTCTCTTGGCAATGTATGAAGCTGGTTCATTCACTGCCTGCAGACAAATCCTTTCCTTTCTATTTTTTTCTGCTCATAAACTACATTCACCCTTTCTCTCCCCATTACTTCTCCCTTCCTCACCATCTATGGTTCGCTGCTGACTAGTAGCCAAAAGCTTCCTTATATGGCTTTCCTCACCTCAAGCATCACTTCTGACAAGGACCCCTTATGCGTGGGCAAGATTAAAACAAACAGGATAATAATAAAACCTGCTTCATCCACCACCACTAAGCTATGGGGACAAGTCCATGGTTTTATGAGTAGAAAACTTTTTGCTGGCTCACATGTTAGCAGCTGGCCATAACTCCTGCAAGAGGATGTCAATACAGACTGGGGGATGGATGGATGGATGGATGGATGGATGGATGGATGGATGGATGGATGGATAGATGGATGGATGGAGAGCAGCCCTGCCAAGAAGGGATTACTGGAGGGTGATAAATTGGACATGAGCCGGCAATGTGCTCTCTCAGCCCAGAAAGCCAGGCATGTCCTGGGTGCATCAGCAGCAGTGTGGGCAGCAGGTCCAGAGAGGGTATGCTCTCCCTCTGCTCCCACTCTCCTGAAACCCCACCTGGAGCACTGTGTCCATCTCTGGGGTACCCAGTATAAGACAAACATAGACCTCTTAGAATGGGTTCAGAAGACGCCATGAAAATTGTCCAAAAGCTGGAATGTCTCTGCTATGGAGAAAGGCTGAGAGAGTTGGGGTTGTTGACCCTTGAGAAGAGAAAGTGCTAGGGAAACCTTATTGTGGCCTTTCAATATATAAAGTTGGCTTATAAGAAAAACAGAGACTTTACCACGGCCTGTAGTGACAGGACAAAAGGGCAACAGTTTTAAACTAAAAGAGAATAGACCTAGGGTAAATATAAGGAAGACATTATTTTACAATGAGGGTGGTGTGAGAGAAGCTGTGGATGCCCAGCCATTGGAAGTGTTGAAGGTTGCTTTGAGCAACCTGATGAAAGATGTCGCTGCCCGAGATCTTTGAAGGTCCCTCCCAAACCATTCTGTGAGTCTGTGATTCTAAGATGTGCTGTTGGTTGACAGCCTAAATAAAAATTGCCATCACACACAGGCTGCATGCACAAGCTTAGCACGGATGGATCCCCTGCCACCCCCACAGCAAGAGCCACACCTTGTGTGATGCTGTCTGGGAAATGCTGAAGTGTTCACCAGGAGGAGCACTGCAGTGAGACGAGACACTCATTCTCATCTGCTCCTCTCTGGGATGGCACTGGGATGCTTCTGGTGAGTTCACCACTTCTAGATCTAGCACTGCTTTCTCCCTGCTTGCTCTAACCTTACTTGTATCCTGCTTTCTCAGGTCCTGCTCACTCCCCGCTTGATCCAACTCACAGGCAGCAGCTGCTGGGATCTGATGCTACGGGACAAAGACTCAGCAGAGGAGAGGAAATATTGGTCTGAGAGCATGTGATCTCAGCAGGCTGGGGGAGAGCCTTTCCTGCGTGTGGGCTCCTGGGGTCTGCCCCATGTGGTCTCAGACCAAGAGATGGAGCTGTCCTGTTGGGGAATGGCAGCTCCACTGCAAAAGCAATGTCAGGGTTGGTCATGACATGGTCCTTGCCATGGCTGCCGACTGATCCCCAAGGTATTACTTGCTTTTGGGCATTTTCCCCCCAGCTATTTTTCCCATCTTTCCCTGGGCTGGTCCTGATGCAGGCAGCCATACTGCTTCCTTCCCTGCCTGCAGACAGGGCTGCCCCAGCTTTGGGCAATGGCAGTTATGTCTTCCCCTTCTATAAATCTCTTTTCTGATGCCTCATAGGGTTGCACCCAGCTTTGTCACGGCTCTGCCACAGCAATGCTGTTATCTGCTGACACACCTGGCTTCCTCGCCTTCAGCCCTTTCTCTCTCAAATTCTCACTGCTCCCTCTGACACATGCTTTTAAATGTCAGTGGTGCCATCCCTGGAGCTTTCCCCTGGTCCCCTTCCCGTGGCACCAGCTGGTCCCTCAGCAACCACACAGCTCTTACACTGGTCCCTCCCTGTGTCAACACCACATGTCACCTGTGTCCCACCAGGTCAAGAGACTTAGAGACCTGCCAGAGTCCCTCTAGCTCAATGAAGATGCTCTTTATAGAAGCAAAGAGGGTTTCTCACTGACACCAGAGATGGAAAGTCTTTTCATGCCGCAGCAACGATATCTCCTGCAGCCCAAGCTTTTGCAGCTGTGTAACCACCCCATTTATTCTTGCTCTCCCACTGGGTGCATTGTCCCCCAGGCACACCGTGTCTATGCATGAACCACAGCACTGCTGTGGGGTCGCAGCCCAGCAGATAGTGAGGAGGAAGAGGCTGGGAGGTGGGAGCATGGGGCAGGTCATGGTGGTGGCCATGGCTGGACTGGCCCAGTATCCTCTGCTGAGGGGGGGCGTGTATGTGTGGCTGGGAAGAGCACAGTGCAGCAGTGCCCACCCCAGCTATTGAGACAGTAAAAAGAAATAAAAGATAGAAAAGGTAAAAGCAAAAAGGGAGAAAAGATTGATGAGTCATTAGAAAGTGCTTTTTTTTTTTTTAAATGCAAGTGGAGTATCTAGAAAATATTTTGCCTTTGCAAAGAAAATGAGCATTTCTGAAGCTAAGGTGACTTTGGGATCCATCCTGAGATGGCACCGTGCATCATATCAAACAGACACCCTGCTTTGGTCACCAGCGTTTCCCCATGGGGATGGAGAGCAGCCCTGCCTAAAGGGCTGGTGCCTTCCTGTGCAGCAGCAGTGGGGAGGCACTTGCAGGGAGCCTTCCTCCCCTTCCTCCTGCCGCCACTTGCGCCCAGCCCCAGCTGGCACTCACTGAAGCTGACGCAAAGCTCTCCAGCCTTCGTGGGATGGCTCCAGCTTCCCTCAGTGGTATAGCTGCATAATTCCTTGGAAATAAGTAGCAAAGCTAGCTCCTGCTCTCTGGGGAGATGTTTCCCCACCCTGGCTGCTCAACATGGCATCAGTCACCCTACAAACTCATCTTTGCCAAAGCAGTCACATTCCTGTTTCCCCTCCAAAAGAAACTTTCCCAAAGAGAAATAGGAAAAGAGTGGAGAAGGGGAACAGTCAGTGTTTGCCAGATGCAAGCACAGTCATGATGGGTGCAATGAGGAACACGAGCAGACAGGGGATCCTGCTGCATCTTCTGGAGCTGCTGTGCTGACCTGGGGTTCCTGGGCTTTTGGTGGCAACAGAAACAGCTCGTTATCCTGCTGCTGGTTGAAAATTAGCCACAAGCTTGTTCATACCTGCCAGCACCCTGAGGGTAACACTGGTTGGGTTTGAGCATGTGGTAGTGGCGGCTGAGCCTGGGTCACAGCTCAGCATGACTGGCTGGTGAGAGCACAGCTTGGCAGGTCCAGTGGGGAAATGTGCATACATCAATGGGTACCTTTTTCCTGCATGTTTCCCTGTCAGATGATCCCCCCTGGGTGGTATGAATGGGGTTGTCCTGTTAGGAAAGGTCTGTTCTCCCAGCAGTGCATCTCTTCAGCTCCCATGCCCTCACTCCTGCTCTGTTTCAGGGCAAAAATTCAGCCCTAAAATTATTTTAGAGCTCATTTGCAATGGCTTGGGATGGATGAGGAGCACTTGTATGCCTAGTGAGGTGAGTTGCACTGAGCAGGACAGGGAGGTAGGGATGTCACTGAAGAACTGCTTGGGCAAAATTTCTTTTTTCCTCCAAATTTTGAAATTTCTACCAGGGAATATTGTTCAGCTATTGAGTCAGTTAAAAGTCAATTAAGAAACTATAATTGCCATGGACTTTTTTTCCCCCCGATGATGTTGAGCAGCCTCAGGCCCCCGTGACAGCTTGTGGGAGATTTTCCAGCCTCAATAAAACCTCTTCCTCAGACTCACCCAAAATCCTTTCCCTGGCTTCCTTCCCAGCTCTTGTGCCCTGGGCGTGCCAGCCCCCAGAGAAAGAAAAACAGGCTTAAGTCATTTGATCAGTGCAGGGATTAAAATTCAATTGCCTGATTTAGATGTACTGAAAATTTTCCTCCCTGCCCTCAAAATCCTGAGCTTGAAGGGGTTAACACTGTTAGTTTGATTTGAACCATATTTTTTAATCTTTGCTGTTATCTATCCACTGGGAACTGTGTGGACAGCATCTCTGTCCACCAGTGGGTTTCACTGGGGCAGTGAGGGGACCAAACCCAGCCCTGTGTGTGGCCATGACTACCTGTGCTCCAGGTAGCACCTGGTGAAGCACCCCATGGGGGAGCCACACAGAAAAATACAATATTCTTGTTGGGGTTTTTTTCCAATGGGCAACGGGGTTTGAGGTCGAACCAGAATCATAAATTAAAGCACAAACTCTACGGGTGGTGGGATTCTCTTTGCAGCCTGCCATGACAGCCCTCCGTAACCACTTGTCCAGAAAGTCAAATGTGCAAAAAATTCCTTTTCTTTTCCATTCTGCTTTTTAAAAATAGGAATCAGGGGGTAGCAGCAGCACTTCTCCCTCTCCAACACTCTGTGATTATTGATGCTACCAGCTTCCCATTGGTGCCTTCAAGTTTAATCAATCAAGAGGGAAAGGAAAAAAAACCCAGCCATT